CTCTTCCAGTCATTCGTATTGTAATCCCTTTTCCGTTTGTATCATGTTGTAACCCTAATTCAGTACTAAAATAAATTTTCTTTTTCATTTCTATTGATTTCCTAACTAGTTCCGATATCATTTGTTATCAGAGCTAGCATAACCCTAGTCCTATCCTTAGGCTTCCTAACACCTACCATAAACAAAAAAAATGTATTTCCTACCACCAAATATCCTTTACACTTCCAAAAATCCCAAGTCCTAACTATGCCACAAAAAAGATATATGCTTGAGCATATTCAAGAAGAGATAAGGCAAGAGCTCCAATGCTTTCAACAGATACTTGCGAAGATTTATGAGATGATCCAAGGGAAGGTTAGTCTCGAACGAGATCTGAAGTCGAAGAGGAGAAAGAGAGGAAGATTTGAATCCCTTCCAAAGGGATAATTACAACGATGAAGAAAACAAGCCACGACGTTTCAAAATCCAGTATCAAAGGAGGTCAAGAGAGGGGCATCTGAACCCCTTCCATAGGGAGAATTTCAGAGATGAGATATCATTTAAAAGACACAGAGACTTCGGCATCAAAGTTGATCTACTAGAGTTTCATCAATGTATGGATTCAAGAGATTTTATTGATTGATTGCAATCTGTTGAACGGATATTCGAGTATAAAGATGTGCTAAAGGATAAGAAGGTCAAATTAGTTGGTATCAAGTTGAAGAAAAATGTCTCTTTGTGATGGGAGAGCTTACAGAGCAGGAGAACAAAAGAAGCAACGATATAATTACCAGGTGGGAGAAGATGAAGAAAGCGATACAAAAGAAATACCTCCCACCCATTACTGATATGATATGTTTATAAGGTGCCACCACCTGCAGCAGGACCTATCAGTTGAGGGGTTCACAGAGTAGATTAATCAGTTGTAGATGAGATGTGATTTGGTCGAGTCAGAGGAGCATACCATAGCCTGTTAGCTGAGGGGCTTGATGCCCATTATTAGTAACATGATGCGGTTGCACCCTAATTCGTCACTTGGAGATGTTCAGACTCTTTTCTTAAAGGCGAAAAGATAGCAAAAGCAGAGCAGACAACAGTTAAGCAGACAATAGTTATCCTTCAGGCAACAACCTTCAGGCAAGCAGTCAGCTACAACTACCTTGACGCAGTTATCCTTCAGGCAAGCAGTCAGCTACAACTACCTTGACTGACAAGGTTACCTCGAGAGAACTAGCAAGTCCGGACAAGCGAATGACACTCTGGATTAGAGAGCGAAGAAACAGGAAAAATCTAGCTACAACAATATACTGACTAGGAAGTGTTTCATATGTCACTACGACCACATAGCCTCCAACTGTCCCACGAGTTGGATAGTCACACTCACGGATCAGGGTGCCATGGAGGAAGTTAACAACGAGAAGACAACTGAGGACCAGAGTAAGGTGTATCAGCTTCCACCAGATGAAGGAGAGGCGCTTGTGATTCGACGGATCAAGCAGACGAGAAATCCATAGTGGCTTTGCCACAATATACTCTAAACCTTCCGCACAGTGAATAGAAAGATATACAGTCTCATCATCGACGACAAGAGCAGCAAAAATGTGACATCAACACAGATGGTAGAGAAACTATGACTCACTACTTAGAAGAATCCCCGACTGTACTCACTGACGTGGCTGAAGAAAAAGAATATGATCAACATCAACCAAAGATGCCTAGTAATGTTATCGATTGGGGGCCAACTACACGACCAGGTGTTGTCCCAATAAATATGGGTCACCTTTTGTTGGGAAAACCATTATAGTATAACCGAAAAGTTTAGCAGGAAGGATTCAGAAACATGTATTCTTTGACCAACGATAGGATGCACATCATCCTACTTCCTTCAGCGGAGCCCAAGATCACAGAAGCTCTCACCAGCAGAATAACGTCCGTGGGATCAGTTTTAGTAAATATAAAAGATTAAAAGATTCAGACACCCGCTCTAAACATGAGACAGACACAACAAAGGATAAAAGATGAAAAGATTTCGGTCGTGTATTTTCCTTTTATGTTTGTTTCGTGTTTTATCTCTAATTCAATACTAATAAAACTTTGCTTTTTCGTTTCCGCTGATTTCGTAATTAGTTCCCATGTCATTTAGTATCAGAGCTAGCCTAACCCTAATCCTATCCTGAGATTTTCAAGCATCTGCTATAAACCAAAAAGTTTTTTTCCAATCACCAAATACCCTTTTCCATTTCCGCAAATCCCAAACCATAACCATGCCACCAAGAAGATGTATGCCAGAGCGTACCTGGGAAGAGATACGACGAGAGCTCCATCGCCTTCAATAGAGACTTGCGGTGATTGATAAGATGACCCAAGGGGAGGTTACCCTCAACCGAGATTTGGAGAAAAGAATGGGAGAAAGAGAGGAGGATCTGAATCCCTTCCATAGGGAGAATTTCAACAATGAAGAAGATAGACCACGACATTTTTGAATCCAGTATCAGAGGAGACCAAGAGAGGGGTATCTAAACCCCTTCCATAAAGCAAATTTTAGAGAGGAAATATCATCTAGAAGGCACAGTGTCTTCGATATCAAAGTTGATCTATCAAAATTTAATGGATGTATGGATCCAGAAGACTTTATTAATTGATTGCAATTTGTTGACTAAATCTTTGAGTATAAGGATATGTCAGAGGATAAGAGCGTCAAATTAACTTCTATCAAGTTGAAAAAAGTGTCTTTTTAAGGTGAAAAAAATTATAGAGCCAGAGAAAAAGAGAAAGCAACGGATATGTCAGAGGATAAGAGCGTCAAATTAACTTCTATCAAGTTGAAAAAAGTGTCTTTTTAAGGTGAAAAAAATTATAGAGCCAGAGAAAAAGAGAAAGCAACGATATAATCACCAGGTAGGAGAAGATGATGCAAAAGAAATACCACCCACCCCATTACCGTCAAGATATGCAGCAGAGGGATCTATTAGTCGAAGAGTTCACTCACAGAGCAGATGCGGTATGAGGGATCTATTAGTTGCAGATGCGGTATGATTTGGCCGAGCGAGAGGAACATACCATAGCCTGTTATCTAGAAGACATGAAGCTCGTTATTAGTAACATGGTGCAACTGCATCCTTATTCGTAACTTGGAGATTTTCAAACTCTTGCCTTGAAGGTGAAAAAACATCAGAAGCATAGTAGATCAACCTTCAGGCAACCACCTTTAGGCAAGCAATCACCTACATCTACCCCGACTGATAAGGTTACCTCGGGAGAAAGTACCAAGTGTGGACAAGGGAATGACACTGTCGATCAAAGCACAAAGAAACAGGAGAAAGGTAGCTCCTCCAACACTATACCGACCAAAAAATGTTTCAGATGCCACGACAATGACCACAGCCTCCAACGATCCCACGATTAAGATAGTCGCACTCACGGATCAGGGCGTCGTGAAGGAAGTTAGCAATGAGAAGACAACTGAGAGGCGCTTGTGATTCGACGGATCCTACAGACTAAGGATACAGAGATCCACAGATGGCTTTGACACAACATTTTCTACACCCGTTGCACAGTGAACAAAAAGGTATGTAGTCTCATCATCGACGGCGGGAGCAACAAGAACGTAACATCGATACAGTAGAGAACTTAAGACTCACTACTTAGAAGCATTTCCAACCGTATTGATTGACGTGGCTAAAGGACAATATGGCCAACATCGACCGGAGATGCTTAGTAGAGTTCTCAAATGGGGCTAATTGCAGGATCAGGTGTGGTGTGACATTGTCCCTACGGCTGTATGACACCATTTATTCAGAATACCGTGACAATTTGGCTGGAGAACTTAACAAAAGGGATTCAGAAACATGTATTCTTTCAAAAAGGATGGGGAGCGCATCATCCTACGTCCTTAAACAGAGTTCGAGATCACTAGAGCCCTCACCAACAGAGCAGTGGCTGCGGGACCAACTTTAGTGAAGACAAGCCAACAGAGCAGTGGCTGCGGGACCAACTTTAGTGAAGACAAGTGATGAGAGGATTGAGATACCCGATCTAGACTTGGAACAGAGACGACAAAGGACAATTCAGGATCTCACAATTCAGGATCTCATGGCCAACACTGTACCACCAGTGCCACAGCCGTGAGGGAAGGTCCAGGTTACTCCCACTGCAAATCAGATTGAACCGACCATGTATCACTTTGGAAATATTCAACAAAGCATAAGAGGCACGCAATCCCAGAAGATTGGTCCGAGATGAATGTTAGCTTGCAATTAGAGGCTCTAAATATCAACTGAGATGGATATATCTAAGGAAAAAATTGTAGTTAAAAATTAAGTAAAAAAGGACGTTATGTCCTATCAATTTTACTCTATAATTTACCAGTGAAAGGAATTAGACGTTTGAGAAAAATGATGCTCTAAATATCACCATAAATGAATTGTTTCATTTTATAATGAACCACACTATCAGAGAGCACCAATTATAATATTTCTTTTGTAGTGTCATTTGGTGAAAAGCCACTTCAAGGAACAAAGCTTTACATTGCCACGTTTCCTTCTCGAAAACTCGGTAAAATCTATATTTGACCTGTAAATTTTAGAAAGTTTCCCATTCTAGTTCTCTGATTGTAATCTGGTGTCCACAATAAAGCGTGTCATACATTCTGATTAGCATCAATCATTTGGACACCTTGAGCTTATAATATCTACAAGAATAGAAAACTCTGGACATTATAGGTTTATTTTATGTTCTTCTTCGAGTAAAATATTGTTTAATTCCTGCATATTTTCTATTTTATCTAGCATGCTATCATTCTTCTGATTTTGTGTATTTAGGATTTGCAATAAAATATTAACCAGTCTTATTCCACGTATCATGATGTCTGCGAATGTGCAACTGTAGGTGCATACAGAAACACAAACATGGAAAATGCATGTCTCAATGTGGAACATTGTTTTTATTCATCAAGAATGCCCATATAAGGTCACACAACAAATATTCATTTATTTTCATGGCAGAATCATGTGTGCAGTTACCTCCTTAGGCCTCTTTAGAGAGATGCAGGAAGCAATATCACGAATAACATCAATCCATTTCTCCCTGTCATTATTTTCTCCATGCCTGGCCAATATCTGCATGCTGAAGAGCATTAGCTTGATCCTAACTTTTAACAAAACAATAGGCTAAAATCTCCCAACAATCTCTGATATTCACTTATATGCATAATGAAGACGAATCCAACTTGTATTTATTACCTTGCCCATTTCAAAATCACCAACACAATCACAAAATGAGTGAAAAGCTGTTAATAAAACACTGTAAAATAAAACAGTTAAGAAAAACACGGATAAGAGTTGGTTTAGTCAGTGATAGAAAAGGAGTCAATAAAATCAAAACTAAATACCGCAAATGCTCCAGCTGACCCAGACCAGCCAGGCCATGGCAACTTCCCAGTTGAAGTGTAAGCGCACAAAGGACAGAAGAATAATTTCGTTCCACTGATTTCTTCCCAGTCTTGCCACCCCCTCTATATTGATTCATATTAACACATATTAAGGTCCCATAATAATTTTTTTTCTAAATTGTCCATGTTAATCAAAATTGATTCAAACCTGAAGAATGCCGTCAGGCCTAGTAATGCTGCTAGCAGTAAGTCCCCATCAAGCAGAGAATCAGATGAATGGTTGCTGCTTTCACCCTTTTCTATATCTACTTTAGGGGCAGGAGAACGATCTAGCACAGATATGATGTACTCCAGAAACAGGCTTGAAAGCACCACATGCTGGGAAAATGTCTAACTCAAAAAAATAAAAATAAAAAGGCAACGAAGAAAGGTCAGTGCCAAATAAAAAAATTCCAAGAAAAAGGCTATAAGTTAATGGAATCCGTAGAACATTATACATGCTTCCTGAGATGGAACAACAATGCATCATGAATACCACAGAACTTCTAAACATCATTCAAAATTGGTATGGCCATTGAAGAACTTTTCCAGAAAAAAATTAACTCAAGTAAATAAAACTCATTAGCAATATGGTATACTGGTATTTAATAGCAAGTTAATCTTAATTACTTTAAAAAAAAAAAAAAAACCTTGTAGGTCATTGACACTGTTTTCATCAGATAGTCACCAAGTGATTTTCCATAGATATTTATGTAAGAAATATGTTTTTGTTTTTATGATATTACTGGTTATGTACTTGATTGTTCATGCTTATGCTGTTGATCACTCATAAGTGATAGAAAATTTAATTGATTCTAGATTTTCATTATATTAATTAAACTTACTTACAGGTTGAGTATTGATTATATAAGTAACTTCTTAATAATAAAAATAAGCTTATTGTTCATACCATGAATATTTCTTATTTAGTCTAAATTAAGAATCATAGAAGTTCAGTCTGCCAGAGTATATCATGGCAATATTGAAGTTTCTTGTAGGAGGAAAACAGTGCAAGTAGAAATTTCAGTATTGGGACAACAACACAGCACAACAGTTAAACGATGTGGAAATATAAGTTTGTAATAGAAGCAAGAATAAAAGAGAAGCAAAACGATGTTAAATTAATATGAGAAGGTACGGAAGAGCATCTTTTGATGAAAAAGTATTAAACAAATATATTAAGATAATTGGGAGTGAATGATAAAGAGCAAAGTAAACACTTGGGTAGCGAGCAGTTAAATTAAATATGATGTTATAGATGAAGAGGGGAGAAAACATATTTTTTCCTCAACATAATTCTCAGCAAATTAGCGAAACCTGCTTGAAAGAAACTCACATAGAATGCATCTTGCATTGACCAACCACCTCGAAGCCTTAATACATCTTTTGTGATGATGTCCCGAGCAGAAGTAACCAAGACCTCACTAAAGACAACATGAGAAGTAGTGCACTCTGCCAAACATGATGTCTTCCAATATAAAAAAAAAAAAAATTAGCCCACACCAGCTTTCAATTTTCTTTGAAGTGATAAATTATTAAATAAAGATGAATACCGCTTGAAGGATTTCTTGACGTGAATGCTTATCAGTTACAAATGAAGCAGACAAAAGTAGCGACTGAGTTGTCCTGCAAATAGAAATTTTAAGTTTCCATTTCTCTAAAATAAAAAAGTTTGATGTCAGATTATGATTTACAACCTTGAAACATCAGATTCATTTAACTCACTGCCTCTCATAGTAATGAACTCAATCACAGCTTGAATAGCTCCATCAGCTGATTGTTTGATCTTATCACATATTGCCGATGTACACATATGCAATGAGATAACAAGCTGTTCAAGAAATTACTCTGCACATTGAGCTTACAGTACAGAGAATAAACTAATTAGCGCATAGGAGAAAGGGAAAAATGATGCAGCACACCTCATCTTTTGTTAACAAACCACAAACAGATGTGACAATTCTATTGAAGACTTCTGATTGATCAATGGATTCATCCTGTAAAATTAGAGTTAAAAAAGTTTGAATTCCTCTCTAAGTAACACACAGATACACACACAAATAATGGAAAAACAAAAATTAAATCTTACCCTTCGAAGCATGGAAATTACATCTTCAAGAGAAGACAAGGCATTGTATGATGATTCTAGATCTACATCACACCCAGCTGATAAAGGAAGCGATAGCGCTATGCTGAAAAAAAGACCTAAGATCTACAAAATCACCAAGGCCGAAATGAGAAAGCAAAACCTTTCCCGTTGAGCGAAATATAGCATAAATATTAAAAATTATGAATGAGATCATCCACAAACCTGAACTGCAACTTTTCTAATCTCTGAACTCACATCTGCACACCTTGGTAGATATGTTATAACCCTTTCCCCGAGACTCAAGGAGTCCCGACTTGGCAATGCATACACAGCTGGAAACAAGCAGATTCAACAAGAATTAATTCACATATTATTTGATAAGTCAACGGATCATGTTATGCACTTACATGGCAAAGTCGAGAAGTTTCTTTGCATTGGCCTTTCAATTTGTGCATTGTGGATGCAGCTGGAATGACACCCAAGTCCACATATTCCGCCAGAAAAAAGAGTCCGGAACTTGAGAAGCAATTCATGCACAGTATGACAGCCTCTTCTTCTCTGATGCTCTACAGCAGACAAAATATATACATCTATCTGTCTAAGAATATGCAGGAGCTGTTCTGCTCGACTCCTACCATCTTCACCACTAGAAAATAAAATCATAAGATGGAGAAAAAAATAATAAAATTAAAACTACAAAATGAAAGAAACCAAACTTGAAGCAGTTACCGGTACCCAAGAAAAAAACAAATAAACAGTGAAGGAAAAAGTGAAATGAAAAGCATTACAAACCGACAATATTAATTCGTCCGCACTTTGCATGTTGTAATATAGGGCCAGAGATTAAGCACAGTATGCTTTTAAGGAGTGCATATAAAAGTTGGAGGGACATGGAGGGGCTGTCGGCTGGCCAGTTCAATGGGGGAGCAGATCACAGGAGAACCCGTGACAGAAAGGTTGGAGGAGAAGGTGACGAGAAAACTGGGCAGTGGAGTACGCAATTGGAAAAGAGAGTTTTGGGGTTGCAGGCGACAACAAGGAGTGTAGCTGGAGCGTTACCATTCTGAATTAAATCTAACATCTGAATAACTCCCATAAATCTTCCCGATGTGTCACAAAAGAGCCTTATTCTAGCATGTGAAACCTTCCTCAGTAAGGGTAACTCAGGGATGAGTCTCTACATCTGAAAGATCTGAATTTCTCTTATCTAGGCTTATTCTGTGTCTGACATCGGCTCTACAAACTCATGACCCATTAGGACATCCTGGATCAGTCCCGTTGATGCTCCTCTCGACGGCTGCAAAATGTAAGCTCAAGGCACTACAATTTCATAGTCTACTGGAATACCCATTATATCAGAGTCAATACTTTGTCCGTATGTATTTTCATGCATAACACCTAAACATTAACATTTACATGTTGAATTGCTTTTATAAGTTCCTTAAGTTCCTCCTCTACCTATTTTATTAACACAGAAGAAAAGAACAATAACTTGAGAGAATATTAACTGCAGCAAATTCCTCCTCTAGCTGCTTTTCCCATCCAGCCAAATCGACACAATCGAGAGATCGACAGAGGTGATCGAGGCTGAGAGTGTAAGGGGTGTGAACTATGCGATCGGGCAGTGAGGATGTACTGCTTATCAGATTAGACAAGCTTGTGTTGGGAGCTATGCGATTGGCCAAATTTCTCCTAGCAAGGCACCCGCGCGGAGCCGAACTGTTAGAGAAGAGGAATGAATGGAGAGAAGACGAACGAGCGAACGAAGGGGCAACTGGGTAAAACGGAGTCGCTAAACGCGGGCAGCAGATTCGACCCCACGGCCCGCCTTTTGCGAAATTCCTCCCTACGGCGGCAGCGAAGTTGCTCTGCCGCTCCCCCAAATAGCAGATCTCGACGGTGGGGTACCGCGAAGCTGTCCAACCACGCCCCAAACATACCCTTAATGAGCCAAGCATGAGTTGTTTGCGAACAAGACCTGGAGTCATCTTTAAGTGCCTTAGAATTCAGAAGACTGCTTCTAAATGATCTTCATTAGGATCATTCATATTTCGGCATACTGTACCCACAAAAATAGCAATCTTAGGTCTTGTATGTGACATAAATAAGTTTACCCATAAGTCTTTGATACCTCCCTATTTCAACTGGAGTCATCTTCTTTTGATGCTCGTCGATTAGGATCCATAAGAGTATCTATTAGTTTTCATCCCAACGTTTCCTTCAATAGGTCAAGTTATATTTTTTCTTGGATATAACAATGACGCAAGGCTCCCTGGGGGTTGAATTGGACGCCGCTCCCCCAAATAGTAGATCTCGACGGTGGGGTACCGCAAAGCTGTCCAACCACGCCCCCAAACATACCCTTAATGAGCCAAGCATGAGTTGTTTGCGAACAAGACCTGGAGTCATCTTTAAGTGCCTTAGAATTCAGAAGACTGCTTCTAAATGATCTTCATTAGGATCATTCATATTTCGGCATACTGTACCCACAAAAATAGCAATCTTAGGTCTTGTATGTGACAAATAAATAAGTTTACCCATAAGTCTTTGATACCTCCCTATTTCAACTGGAGTCATCTTCTTTTGATGCTCGTCGATTAAGATCCATAAGAGTATCTATTAGTTTGCATCCCAACGTTTCCTTCAATAGGTCAAGATATATTTTTTCTTGGATATGACAATGACGCAAGGCTCCCTGGGGGTTGAATTGGACGGTGAATAGATAAACTAGTGCAGACAATAGACTACAGAGCCGATCGACTCTTGTTTATATATATATATATAATATGTCATAAGGGTCCAGTTTTATTTTCAGATTTTTCTGTCATCGACATCTTTTTTCCCTTATTCGGGTTGTATCCGAGGACAGGTAGTACGGTTGTATCCTGCTCTGAGGTGGCGACTACCTCCACATATTCCCTTGCTCTACCCTGCAATTGCACGCTGCTATACTTCCAACACACCCCCCAACCGATTCTGTCATCTTTGTACCGCCTTCCTCAAGTCATCTGTAATGAATTGTTATCCAACCACTCCTACCTGTATCGCCACTCCCTCCAACCGCCTATTGCCCGTTGTCCAGCCACACCCCTGCCTCCCTTTGCTGCCTTCAACCCTCCTTACCAACCTCAATCCCCTATTTCCACAAATCCAGCCGCAGCCCACTCCCAACTTCCTCACCCTACGGTGTTTTTGTTGCTTGTGTTGTTATTTTCCTAATGTCAAGAATCGTAACCCTTTTCTATTTTCAACAGTAATATTTGCATTTATGTTTGAATTTGGAGTTAACTCCGACATCAACTAGTATAAGAGCTAGCCTAATCCTATTCATATACTAGAGTTTCATAGCATCTGCATACCCAAACCATCTCCACTCCAGAATTTTCTTTCTTATTCCCCCAAACCCTAACCAAGCCAACAAGCAAACATACACCAGAACTTACCTAGGAAGAGATGCAGTGAGAGATCTATTGGCTTCAGTAGGGTTGCAAAGATTTATGATGTAATCGAGGGAAAAATTATCCTCAATCCTGACATAGAAAGTCAATGAGTAAGGGAAGATGATTTGAATCCTTTCCATAGTGAGGACTTCAATGATGATAAAATAGGGCCCAATGCTTCAGAATTCATTATCAAAGGAGGCCGAGAGAAGAGGCGTCATATGGAGTACACAGTGATTTCAGAATAAAAGTGGACCTACCAGAGTTCAATTGAGGTATGAATCCAGACAATTTCATGGAATGACTACAGTTAGTTGAGAAAATCTTAGAGTAGAAGAAAGTGCCAGAAGATAAGAGGGATTTCAGAATAAAAGTGGACCTACCAGAGTTCGATTGAGGTATGAATCCAGACAATTTCATGGAATGGCTATAGTTAGTTGAGAGGATCTTAGAGTAGAAGAAAGTGCCAGAAGATAAGAGGGTGAAGCTTACAACCATCAAAATGAAAAAGTGTGCCTCCTTAGTGGAAAAATTTGCAAAAGCAAAGAAAAAGAGGATAGTGACAAGATTAGTTGGTGGGAGAAGATGAGAAAGAAAATGCAGAGAAAATACCTTCCATCAAAATATATTTTTGAGATTTCATCACCTACAGTAGTGAAACCTATAAATGGAGGAATTCATGACATAATTTTGATAAATTACAGATGAAGTGTGAATTGGTCGAGCCATAGAAACACACCAAAGCCAGATATTTGGGAGTCTAAGCCCGCTATCAACAAAATTATGCAACTACAGACCTATTGTACACTAGGAGATGTCCATATCTTAGCCTTAAAGATTGCAAGACAACAAAAACAAAACAGGTAATAGCCCTCCATAGACAACTACCTATAGACGTAGCGACCAACAAAGGTACGTCTGGAGTTGGGTAGATCGGACAGGAAAATGACAAGACAGAGTTAAGTGAAAAGAAACCAGAAAAGAGTAATTCATCCTATATGGTGTATGCCAAAAGATATTTTAGGTTCCACGGCTAAGGACATAGCCTCCAGCTGTCCCACAAGCCGAATTGTTTCATTTACAAAGCAAGGCATCATCAAGGAGGTGGAGGAAGAGGAAGCATAAGAGGAGAAGGAGTAGAAAGTTCAGCTCTAGGGAGATGAGAGAGAGACACTAGTCATAAGGAGAGTCCTACAGACTGAGTCGGAGAAGGATCATTCATAGTCGAGGCATAGTTTTTTTTCGCACCAAGTGAACAATGAAGGAAATAGCCTGTAATCTGATTATTGATGTTGGGAGCTGCGAGAATGTAGTATCCACTCTGATGGTGAAGATAGTGGGGTTGGTCACACAAAATCATTCTCAATCCTACACTCTTACCTGATTGAAAAAGGGGAACGATATACGCGTGGATCAACAGTGCTTGGTTGAGTTTTCTATAGAAAATTAGCTACAAGAGCATGTGTGGTGCGACGTGGTACCTATAGATGATTTCCATATTGGAGATAAGGGTAGCTCGACCGCAAGACCCAACACGAAGAATTCAAGAAAACTTAATCATTCAAAAAGAATGTAAGGCGCAACATTCTTTTGCCCGTCAAGGATGCAAGAGTGGACATCATAGAGATGGTAGTCCTGGCAGTCACATTCATGCAATTAGTAATAAAGTGTCAAGTGGCAATGGATTTGTTCCTACTAGAGAAAACTAAGGAGGTTGAGATACCGATGCCCTACAACTACTACTAGGTGACTTTCAAGACGTGATGATTGACAATATTCTAGAGGGATTGCAGCCACTGAGAGACATTCAACACTCCATATATATCATACCCAAATCAATACTACCAAATCAGCCCACCTATAAACTGAAACATGCAAAGTACGCGGAACTATAGCGACAGGTACATGAACCTGTCGCAAGGGGTTTGGTCAAAGAGAGTTCCAGCTCGTGTGATGTCCCTGCCTTGATGGTACCCAAAAAAGATGGATTGTGAATGATGTGCATTGACTGCTTGGTCATGAACAAGATTATTATAAAGTAGAGATTCCCCATACCCCGACTGAGTGATCTTTTGGATCAGTTGCATGGAGCTCTTGTCTTCTCCAAGGTCAACTTACGCAGCGAGTACCACAAGAACCGGATGAGTGGAAGACTGCCTTCAAGTTCCGGGATGGATTACATGAGTGGATAATCATGTCCTTTTGA